TTCCAGCAGGTTATTAAACACAGACACCCATAACTTCCTTATGAGATCTTTCTTCCCAGCAAAGAAGAACTTCCAATTCCACGGAACATTTACCTTCCAATTATAAAAAATGCTCACTACTTGCTTTTCTTGAGTAGGTCACTTGTATCATTTATGACAAGCTGTTATGTAGCCCATGATGTGAATGAACCTACCAATCTTAGGTCACATTGTGTTAAATAAAGCAGACTGAATTATGAATCTTCATTATAAGCATATCTTTAGACCAACAATTACTTTATTAATGGATAAAGTTGTCAAATGGTATCAACCCCCTAGAGCCTATCTTGCTCTAACTGCCAAAATCGAACATCATTTGACTTTACGATGTTAGTTTTTCTTTTCTCTGATAAATATGCATACTTCTAGATTCTTCTTTCAACTTCTTTGTGAACTTATGTTAAATATAAAGGGTGTGGTTTGCATAAGGTTGCAACCTTGAACAATCAAATTAAGGCGTACCTCCAAATTTTATCATAAATATAATTTTGGTGTAAAAAATTCTTAGGATGGCTTGAGAATCTATTTCCATCTCAAGCTGTAAAATTTTAAACTCCAAAAATAGTTCAAATCAAGTAGATACAATATTTTTGGGACTCGAAATCTTCTTTCTTTTCATATTCATACATCTCAATATCGAGAAGGTTGATTTGATGATTTTCCAACATCAAAACAACCTTTTATAATAGATTTTTGAGGCGCACCTTAATTTTACATTTTAGGGTTACAAAGTGTTGCATACAATACATTGTGGGATCTAAAATATTCTGTCAATTTGCATGTCACAGTGAAAATTCTAGGGTTAATGAGAGGGTCTGGCAGATACTCAGCTGGCCTCCTTATTAGTGCTGTGGCAACAATAGGTGTTTCGCTTCTTGTTGCAGTGATGTGCTTTTCAGGTTGCTTTCTTTACCAAAAGTTGCGGAAAAATGACATAAAGCCAGCTCTGAATGCAAATGAAGGTTAGAACGTTCTTCTGTATATTCGTTAAAGGAATGCCTGTGATCCAAACTCTAATGGTTTATAATTTGTTCTAACAAATTGAAGAGTTCATATTTTTACTAAGGAAAATTGTTTCATGCAGGCTGGACCGCATTTCTACATATGGGGTCCAGAAAGTGTAAAGCATCCATCTTAAAGATGGTTGCAAGTAGGTGTTCCATCTAAAAACAATGGAAACTAACGGTCCAAATGTTTTCTTACTAGAATTGTTATTTCTAGTTTTTAAAATTTATGTATTTTTTCATATTCATGATGTCCATGTTAGAGATTACATGTCCTTAAAAATTAAGTCCTAAAATCTATCTCAAAAATAGATTTATTAAGAGGCCCACATTTCTACATATGCGGGTTTGGCCGCATAGAAACCGGATCCTTTTACTAAATGCCTCTAGAGGCCCTAATGAAGTTTTTCATCATGGCAGGCACATCAGTGGTCATATTCCATGGTGATTTGCCCTATAATTCAAAAGATATTGTAACAAAGATAGAGGCTTTAAATGGTGAAACCGTTATAGGTTCTGGAGGATTTGGAATGGTCTACAAGCTTGCAATGGATGATGGTTGCCTTTTTGCACTGAAAAAAATTGTAAAGACAAATGAAAGTTCTGATCTATTTTTTGAGAGGGAGCTTGAAATTCTTGGAAGTATCAAGCATCGTCACTTGGTAAATTTGCGAGGATATTGCAATTCTCCTTATTCTAAATTGCTTATCTATGATTATTTATCTGGCGGCAACTTGGATGAAGTACTGCACGGTAAATGTTTAATCTTCACAACCCATTTACTTCTTAAGAATATTTTATCCAAGTCTATATGCTGAGTCGAGAGAGATTAATAATTTATGTTCTTGATTAATATTTTATGTTGGTTGAAAGAATATTACTGTATTCATTCTTTTAATGAGCTCATAATAAGACATTGAATTCATTTTGTCTCTTTTATTTTGATTTGTCTTTTTTATTTTGATACTAGGATATTTCCTTCTTTCCATTAAATGTAGTTCACTGAAACCATACTTACCTTCTTACAAAGTAAAAGTGTTGCTCTTACTGATTAGTGATTACATAATGGCGTATGTCAATATGTTTCAGCATCTTTGTCTCTTTTGCTGGAGCTGTTTACTTGGGTGAGTGTTCTTTGTATATTTGTGGGGAGTTAACCAATGGTTTTTAAGTGAACTACAAAATCAATCATTTCAGGCTTTTGTAAACTGTATTCAAAATGAGGATGAAAGTTAGGAGTGACTTCTTCGTTTATGAGTTCTTGATGATCGAATTTCTTGTTTTGCTTGTATATTCCTCCTTGGCTACACCCAGATGTAAGTAGACATATGCTTATTTCCTTTTTTATCCATAAAAAGGGGGGAAAAAATCAGTGTACTATGCTACTGACCATGTGGGACTCCTATGGCAAATTTTAACATTCCCCTCATTGTTCGAGGAATCCTTATCTATTTGGGGTTGGGGCAAAATGTCAATTAACTCGTGATCTACAGAATGCCCAAGTGCTGCACTTACTACAAAGCATGATCTGCTCGCCTTTTCATCAAGAAATTTGGTGTTCCAAGATATTTTTACATTGATGCATCATGTTAATGGACTATGAGATGGTTATGTTTGCTATGAGGCTCTGGGACATCAAAATAAAATATACTTGTTTCAATCATATTACGTTGTTTAGATCACTGAACATGTTCTTGCCAATATTGAGCAGAAAGGTCTGAGCAACTTCACTGGGATGCGCGCATAAAGATCATTGTAGGAGCTGCTAGAGGTCTGGCTTATCTACACCATGATTGTTCTCCTAGAATTATACACCGTGATATAAAATCCAGCAATATATTACTCGATAGACATATGGAAGCTCTTGTATCGGATTTTGGGATTGCCAAATTGTTGGGGGATGAAGTTTCTCATGTCACCACCATTGTGGCTGGAACATTTGGTTATTTGGCTCCAGGTATGATATGGAAAGTTCTCTTAATTTGAGAACTCCACTTCTGATTCCATAGTCCCTTTTGCTTACCTTTTTGTATGCCTTTTGGGTATTTCAATGTAGTATAAGCCTTGCTGGTCATTGAATGGGCAGCAACCTATATTCCATTACCCATGATTTGTGCGCGCACACATATTATAATTGTGTATGGAAACTACAGATTGCATTCAAAATACATATTATTGCCATGGTTGATTGTTTTGCAGAGTACATGCAGACCGGCAGAGCTACTGAAAAGTCCGATGTGTATAGTTTTGGAGTTCTTCTTCTTGAAATATTGAGTGGGAAGCGTCCTACTGATCCATCATTTATTGAAAAAGGCCTGAACATTGTTGGTTGGGTAATTCCTTTTATAACTTGCTTGTGTTCTTACCAAATAAATTAAATTCTTTTGGTTCGTGTGGGTTGCAGGAGATTGTTAAATCTTAATAATACTTGCCCTTTTATTTCTTGTTTATTGGCACGTTGAATATGTTTCTTATAAGCCTTGAGAGTAACTTCACATGTATGGGGAAAAAGTGGAGAGTAGGAGAGTATATTTGGCATTTTTGTATTACAAGATAAAATAGGAAGGACTGAAAGGACCTTACACTTTTCAATGCTCTAGACTCAATCAATCCATAGATACTCATTCCAAGCCTCTCATCTCTCCTCTGAGGATCTCAACCGTTTAAATAGCACGTTGACTATGTTTCTTATAAGCCTTGAGAGTAACTTCACATGTATGGGGAAAAAGTGGAGAGTAGGAGAGTATTATTGGAATTTTTGTATTACAGGGTAAAATAGGAAGGAATGAAAGGACCTTACACCTTTCAATGCTCTAGACTCAATCAATCCATTGATACTCATTCCAAGCCTCTCATCTCTCCTCTGAGGATCTCAACCGTTTAAATAATCTATCCACTCAATGTTGTCCATATCTTAGAACCATTAAAAATTTGCTTTTTGAGAGGAAAAGATACTGCAAGATAGTTAATATTCCCAAAAATATAGTTGCCTCCTTGTGGCTGCTGCAATGAGCCTCCTTGATCTAACTTTTGGCTATTGCTGCAAGATATGTTTAAAAAGTTGGTCTAACTCCAATTCAAGTTCCTCGACTTGAGTTTGATTTGAGAGGTACATGAGTTGAAAATAGGGGCTTGAATTTTTTCTGCAAAAGAGGGACGTATGCCATTTTTTGTTCACTCTTGCAGTTCTTCAGTTATTCATGTCTGTAATGTAATAATACAATATCCTTTTGTCATTATTGACTACTTCAAACAAAAAGTAAAAAAAGAAAAGAGAAAAGTTTAAAAATTTACCCAGTTGATTCTCTAACTCAAATCGTTGTTCCACAATATGACTTGACTCAACTTATACAGTTCTACCTTTTGATCCTAGAAGCATTATATGCTTTCTGGCTCCTAAACAGTAGCTCACAATTTAATCTCTCAAGTTCTCTTGGATTGATAATGCTTCTATTGGTAAATTGGGTTTTCTTATATGCAACATAGAGTGTGTGCCCAAGAGCTCAAGAGCACTAGGCTTTGACATCTGACCTCTACAAGATCTCTTTGGTTCATGTATTATCATTGAAGGAATTGTCCCTAGTTTGTTATGGAGGAGTGGATGATTGTTATCTATTACAAAATGAAGGATAAAAATGAGATTGTGGGGGATGCATCTTTGGAGGTTATTTTCCTCGTTTGGAGTTGAGAGGTTTATTTCCATTTCCTTTTTTTTATGTACTTCCTACCCAATTTATCAGGATGAATTTGTGATCCTTTCACTCATTTCTTGCATGTGATTTTTAAGAATGTGTTGAAAATTAGTTTAAAAAAAAAGTGTAGAAAATTTAAATGATATCATTGTGTGCAAGGGTAAACCATAGTTCTGTTCTTACTTGTTAGAGATATTGGGAGCTCATATCATAATAGATCTTGGAAACTAAGTGGTGAACTCTTCTTGTTCTCTCTTTAGATTGTTTGACCAGCAACAGATGATTAAACTGATGGCATCTTCTAAAAGTATTCTTATGCAGCCACGAAAACAGTTAAGAATATTATCTACAGAAGTTACCATAAAAATATTACATAGAAACATCAGACCGGAAGAATAATGAGGAATAAATAGAACAAATGACTTATATTCAATTCATTTTCTCTCATATACTTCAAACTTCCTGGCGTTCTAAAACTTGGCGATCCATACTGGGAATTGCTGCTCTGGATTGGATACGGTGATTAGGCGATATGGGGTTCCTACCCCTCAAATCCCCTTGATTTTATTTTTATATTTATTTTTATGTTTTTAACTGATTCTATTACTGGTTTGGCCAATCCGGATTTTGATCCTGCCTATCAAGATCAGTACTGTGGGTGGGTCATCCAAAACACGATTTTAGTTTTTAGAACACTCGAAATTTCCTATTATCTTACGACATTCAGTTCATTATTATCTCTCGTACTTCGTAACGGCTGATGGACTGTACTTGTGTGGCAGTTGAATCTATTGGTTAAAGAGAGGAGGCAGAGGGAGATCTTGGATCCTCTCTGTGAGGGAGTGCAAGAGGAGAGCTTTGATGCATTGTTGAGCATAGCAATTAATTGTGTTTCTTCAAATGTGAAGGAGCGACCCACGATGCATAGGGTGGTCCATATGCTCGAATTTGAAGTGTTGGCTCCTTGCCCAAGTGATTTCTCTTATTCAAGTTTTGATGATTGATATTATGCATCAATTGTAATATTTGTTGTTTTTTCTTTCTCTCATTTCTATCTTCTTCTTTTCTTGTATTATACTTGTCGCCTATCTCACATTTCGGAAACAAGTTTATTTATGCATGGAATGCGAGTACCAGTTCGATAAGAGAATCGAAATGGGCAAATGCATGTCTTGGTAATTCCTTTTGGCGTCCAGGATTTGTGAAGGTGGTGAACCAGGATTTTCCTTCAAGAGTTTTAGAGTAAGAGAAATGTATGGCATTTGTTCAAGTCTTACATTTTAGTTTTTTTTGTTGTTTTTTCAGTAAGAGTTCCTCCTAGTATGAGTTCATCTTCCTATTTGATTTGAAGTTGAACTCAAGGGCTTATTTTCCTATTAAGAAGTGGCAATAATCA